TGCTGCAGTTTCACCATCTATTTCTCCTCTTTGAAATTGAATGGAGAGGGTCCATTGCATTGGCATAGATGGCTGCAGTGCCAGCATCTCATATGGGCATCCGTTTGAGTCCCAGCTGCTCCACTTCCAATCCAGCTCTCTGCTATGGCCTGGGAAAGTAGTAGAGGATGGCCCAAGTGCTTGGGCCCCTGCACCCGTATTGGAGACCAGGAAAAAGCTCCTGGTTCCTGGCTTTGGATCAACCTAGCTCCGGCCATTGTGGCCACTTGAGTGAAACCAGCAGATGAAAGACACACTTCTCTGCTTCTGCCTCCCTATAACTCTTTCAAATAAATAAATTAAAAAAAAAAATTGAATGGAAGAGATAGGCATTATAGCCCAGGTTAAATTGCCACTTGGAATGCCACATCCTTTATTGGGGTGCCAGTTTGAGTACTGTTAATCTTCTGATGGTTCCTGGGAGGCAGTAGATGATGACTCAATAATGTTGGCCCCTGCCACCCATGTGGGAGTCCTGGCAATTGTGGGCATTTGAGGGGGTGAGTGAGCAAATAGAAAATATTTCTCTCCCGCCACCCATTTCTTTCAAGTAGATTAAATATTTTTCACATTTGTAAAAGACTTATTTATTTTGAAAGAGAGAGGAGAAACAGATCCTCCATCCACTGGCCCACTCCCCAGATGGCCACATCAGCCGGAGCTGGGCCTGTCCAAAGGCAGGAGCTTCCTCTGCATCTCCCACGTGGGTGCAGGGCCTCGAGCACTTGAACCGTCCTCCACTGCTTTCCCAGGCATATGAGCAGGGAGCTAGATCAGAAGTGGAGCAGCCAGGACTCAAACCAGCACCCATATGGGATGCCAGCATGGTAGACAGAGGCTTAACCCACTGCACCATAGCGCTGGCCGCCATAAACATTTTTAAAAACAAATTGAATGGGGAAATGACTCAGAATAGAATTGGAGAGAAGAAAATGACCACTCTCAGACTTCCAGACTTTTCTCACTTGGGCGGATATATAAGCATACATAGTGTTGAAGAGTGCAGTTCCACACCTGCTCCTAGCTGTGCAGTGTGGCAAGGTTAATTCAGTGGGCCTTGGTTTGCTATCAAATGAAGAAAATATATGCCTTATAGGGTTTATCTATATGTAAAGTGCTTATCTGGGTGCCTGGTACTCAATGAAGAATGATAGCTATGATTAACAGATTCTGTAATTGTCTAAGTAGATAGATCTGGTTAGATAAATGTAAACACGAATGGAATATAATTGTCTGGAACATCAGAACACTGGTATTATGAATTTTAAGGATTTACTTATTTTGGGTCTGGCGCTGTGGGTAAAGCTGCTGCCTGCAGTGTTGGCATCCCATATGTTTGCCAGTTCAAGTCCCAGCTGCTCCATTTCTGATCCAGCTTTCTGCTATAGGCTGGGAAAGCAGAATATGGCCCAAGTCCTTGGGCCCCTGCATCCACTTGGGAGACCCAGAAGCAGCTCCTGGCTTCAGATTGGCCCAGCTCTAGCCACTTAGGGAGTGAACCAGCAGATGGAAGACCTCTCTCGCCTTTCAAATAAATATTTTTTTAAAAAAGGTTTACGTATTTGAAAGGCAGAGTTAGAGAATGGAGGAGAGAGAGGTCTTCCATCTGCTGGTTCACTCCCACAACAACCAAGGCTGGGCCAGACTGAAGTCAGGAGCCTTTTCGAGATCTCCCACATGGGTACAGGGAGCCAAGGACTTGGGCCATCTTCCTCTGCTTTCCCAAGGGCATCATCAGGGAACTAGATCAGAGTGGAGCAGCTGGGACTTGAACCAGAGCCAGTATGGGGTGCTGGCATCACAGGCTGCGGTTTTACCCGCTATGCCAGCCCCTCATTCTTAATTTTAGAGTAATGAAGACCTTTTTCCTCCTAAGCTCATGTTTTCTATCTCTTCCCTGCCCTCGGTAGTTGCCTAAATTACAATTAATCCAGTATTTCTTGATTAAGTTGAAGAATTACTCAGGGAACTACAACTCTGTAGATTGTACAGATTTTACCTCTCAATGACAAAATGTTCACTTTTACCCGACCATACATTTTCTGGATTGCTCTACTAGAAATATATTCTTAAAGATTTTCTTACTTGAAAGGCAGATACCTTCTATTTCCTGGTTGAGTCCCCAAATGTCAACAGCTAGGGCTGGACCAGACTGACTCAGGAACCCAGAACTCCATCCAAGTCTCCCATGTGGGTGGCAGGGCCAGGCACATTTTTAGGGATCTGGATAGGAAGTGAAGTGGAATAGCCATGACTTGGTGTTCTGATATGGATTGCTGGCAGTTGCAAGCAGTGGCTTTAATCCACTGTGTCACAGTGCTAGTCTAAGAGGAATGTTTGTTGTGGTTGACTTTTAATAAACTTTAAGATTTATTTATTTGAAAGGCAGAAGTTACAGAGCGAGGGAGAGACAGAAATCAATTTTCCGTCTGCTGGTTCACTCCCCAAATGGCCACAATGGCTGAAGCTGGGCCAATCTGAAGGCAGGAGCCAGAAGCTTCTTCTGTGTCTCCCACGTGGTGCAGGGGCCTAAGGACTTGGGCCATCTTCCACTGCTTTCCCAGGCACATTAGCAGGGAGCAAGATCAGAAGCAGAGCAGCCAGGGTGTGAACTGGTATCCAAGCAGGCAGCAGCTTTACCTGCTTTGCCACGACACTGGCCCCAGTTGGATGACTTACAGTTAACCCCTAGGCCTTCAGCTACAGTTATCTGAAATATGGGACCTTGATCAGACATACTCAGAAAAAAAATTGCTACTTGGGTTACAGGTATGATTTATTTTCTTTAGTAAGTTGATGTTAAATGTTATTAAGGAAAAAAAAAACTGTCTTTTAAGTTTCCTTTGGAATTTTTTCTGGTATTTACTGAGAATTGGATGACCTTTATAATTTTAGTCTTCACATGAAAAACTAGGTCTAAAATGAAGAGTAAGGTTAGCCAAGTAAACATTTTTCCATTACATTTCCTGTTGGAATGGGGCACTTTATACTTCATGTTAATCATTCTGAGTATATAAATTTGTGAAACTAGAACGTCTATAGGTGTAAAATACTAACTCCTGACTCTTAAAAGGAAATCATAATTTAAGAACTACTTCATGTCCTAATTAAACTAGAATATGCATTGGGCACATAATCCTACAGATTATGAAATGAGAAATTATTTGCTTTAGCAAATGGACTAAATTTGTTTAAAAATAGTTTTAGAGTCTAACTACAGTGTAGCAGAATCATAGTGGATTAAACTTAATTACTATAGCATAAGGAAACAAGCAATGGAAGACATAGTCTCTCATTGCACCTTGGTGAAAAGGGTAGGTATTGCTCTTAAGTCAAGCTGAGTTTGAGGCTCCCATCCCTGTTCTACATCAGTAAACAAAACAAATACACAACCATCCAAGGATCCCATGGGATAATCCCTGGGATTATTTCCAGGGGGCTCCCATTTGGCCTCAAATTCTCTGAATAAAAATGTTGCAAATAGAGAATTAAAATATTTCACCTTTTAAGTGTAGACCCACAACAGAACTACTCATAGTAATGACAGACTGACCATTCCAAGGTGTTAACATGGCTCTATGTGTCTTCCTTGGCCACTGTGAAAACAGTTGGACAACTAGTTTAACTTTTCAGCAAAATACTTATCAGTTTTTGCTTATCTTTAATAACATTGGATTTTTTAAAAAAATTTTTTTTATTTATTTGAAAGGCAGAGTTACAGAGAGAGGAAGAGAGACAGATCCTCCAATCACCGGTTCACTCTCCAAATAGTTGCAATGACTGGGACTGGGCCAGGCCGAATCCAAGAGCCCAGAACTGCTTCTGGGTCTCCCACGAGGGTGCTTTCCCATGTGCGTTAGCAGGGAGCAGCCAGGTCTCAAACAGGCATTCATATGGAATGCTGGTACAACAGGCAAAGGCTTAACCTACTACACCCCAATGCTGGTCCCAACAACATTGTATTTTAATTAACTAACCTCAGTCCATATACAACAAGAAAAATATAGATCAGCCTTTTATAATTTACCTGACAGTCTTTTTAAAAACTGATGCTGTATGTAAATTTTCTTCTGCTTTTAATAGGTTTTTTTAAAATTCCATTTTGTATAATGCATGACTCATTCATTGCTCATTATCTTCCCACTGATTTTCTTTTTTTCCTTTTTGCCTTGAGCCAGCAAGAAAATCTTACATGAGAGGAGGGAGAAACAGTGAGTTGAGGAACAGCACTTAAATACTGCTGCCTGACTGTCATTGGTTATCTCCTTTCCTGCCGCGGCCAGTCTAATCCAGCCTCCCTGCCATCCCTCCCCGCCCCCACACTCCCTGCCAGGCCTCGAGGGGTAGCGGTTGCAAGAAACTGATTGCAGGCAGAATGTAGGCATCTTCCGCTCCGAATGGACAGTAACACACTGAATAGAGAAGGAAGCTTTTAGAAATGCATCGTTTGTCAGAATTGCCTGGCTTTTTAAAAGGGATAGAGAGATGCTGAACGTTTTGTATGTTAGCACCGACTCTTTTTATTTCTGTTCAGACTCTTAAGTTTTCAGAAGCTTAAATATAGAGCCCTTTAAAAAAAAAAAAAAGAAGAAAGAAGAATTTGTCTGGTTAGTCGACCTCTTTCTGAGAAGTGCTTCATCACCCTCCTCCACTTCCCCGTGGTGTCTCTGCAGCTCTCTGTAGGTTAGGTCTGTGCCGCTTGGCAGAATGCTCATGTGGTAGCAGAATAGAGTTCACTGACAGACACAGATCAATTTAGGGTTTCTTTCTTTCCTGTGAATTCCAAAATGCCATCCAAAGAGTCTTGGTCGGGGAGGAAAACTAATAGAGCTGCAGTTCACAAATCAAAACAAGAGGGCCGTCAGCAAGATTTATTGATAGCTGCCTTGGGGATGAAACTGGGTTCTCAAAAGTCGTCTGTGACAATCTGGCAACCTCTGAAACTCTTTGCTTATTCGCAGTTGACATCACTTGTTAGAAGAGCAACTCTGAAAGAAAATGAACAAATTCCAAAATATGAAAAGGTTCACAATTTCAAGGTAAGAACATTTATTTTTAGCCTGTTCTTATAAGAAGTGCTCATCGCTTAAAATATACAGTATTAAAGGAATGTCTTCTGAAGTCTTTAAAATGAGGATGACTTGACAAAAATGTTCTTGGTATTTAATAATGATGTTTTAAGTCTGATTTAAATAGCTGAATGAAGCTAATAGAAATCTAACCCTGTTTTCTGTAAGGCTGTTTTAAAATTCTTTAATCAATTTGTACTCACTAGTAAAGTCTTGACTAATTGTAATGAGGCCTCATTTAATAATGATTTTGGCATTATTTTTATTTGTGATACAAATATGTCTAAATACCTTTGTCAACTATTTTATGGGAGAATTAGATCTTACCTCTGTTCCTTTCTGGTAAAAAGCTTTGGAAACGAGGCATGTGCCATTGCATCTGGATTGAGCAGATGGTCTGCATTTCCCATAGTTTTGTCTTTTCTCCTGTTAATGAATTGACCATGATGAAAGGAGGATGGCTACCGTGGGACTGTTGTTGCTGCTGACAGTAGCAACTTCTCTTAACTTATGAGTATTTGCTTTCACCTTGTGTCTGTGTGGTTTTAGATTCTTGCAGTAATGTGTTTTATCAACTATACTTGAATCTTCTTTCAGGCTGATGTGTGTGTAAACCTTGCCTGTATTTATAAAATGATATTAAGGCCTTGAAGTTCTGTCCTTTGCAGCCCAAGACAGAGGCTATACAATGTGAAGTCATGCATAGGAAACCCAGTTACACTTAATACATAGATGCGCTGGCATTTGTATAGTAACTTTCCAGTAGTTAGACAACTTAGATACATTTTTTGAGACATGAATAATTTTAGATAAAATTTCTTTGCTGTTAGTTTCAAAAGGTGATAAAACTGATTTTCTGTTGCTTGTTTTTCAACATTTATTCAGTACATAGAATGTACCAGGCTCTGTACTAGGGGATTTCATTCCAAATTTGCAATTCATCCTGATTTTTAACACCAGCATTTATTTTACTCAAATGCTAAATACCAAGCCTCCAATATGCTCCAAATTTTCCAGTGTGAGAAATAGACCCTTTTGATCTCCAGATCATTTTAGGATAAAGACAAGTTGCTTAATTAAAAAAAAAGTTTCTGAAAGGTATGGGCTATGCAAAGACTGCTAATATTTCAAGATAAATAGCCTTTTCTCCTTCCTCTTTAAACATAGTAAGGATCATTAAGGATCTTACTTTTCAACCAATATTCCTGATTTAAAGTAAAAAATAAGATAATTCAGTGGATGAAGTACCTGATAGAAAGCAAAAGTTGTGTGTGTGTGTGTGTATATATATATATATATATATATATCCAGTCTTAAACCACTTAATTCAGGTATAAATTAAATAACACATGCAGGTTACCAGGCCTCAGGTTTTTTTTTTTTTCTTATATGAAATACAACCTGGTCTTATAGGATTTTTATCAGGAAAATGACCCCAAGTCAGTCCTTTTGCCAATTTAAAGTTATAAAATAGCCATTTAGATTCCTAAGAAATTATGTACACTTGTTCAAATCTATCTCCAAAGATGTCTCCTCTCATTTGTTCAGCAAAAACATACTCAGAATGCCATTTTAACGCCAAGTCCATTGAACATACTTCTTCTTATTGATTAACAGGCTTGTTTAAGGACTTGCATAACAAGGCATATTGTTTTCTTGGTTGAATCTTCCAGTTATTTCTCAATTTTAATTTAGCACATTGCTTTAATGAACAGACTCTATAGAGCCAAGAAGTGCTATAGGACCTATTGTGACTCTTACTTTGGTACTCAAGACTGCTTTAAAGATACTGTTTTTTAAAAGGCACATAAAAAACAAAAGGCTTCTTCCTTCTTTGGAGCTAAATAATTAAAACTAGCTAGAGCTTGCTGTTTTAAAAAGTTCTTATGGTCAGGAAGGAGCTCATGTTGAAGAGTTGCATTACTTTTTTTAATAGTTGCTAATAAGATCAGCAGTTTATTTTTTTTAAAAAAAGTTTCTGTGTGATGGCATTATTAAAAATGAGAAAAGAAAGTCGGGGGGTTGGGGTGGGGAGTCATTCTTGACTTCTGAGAACATCCCAGGAAGAATTCAATCTGTGGCAGGAGCAATTTCTCCCACACCAATGCTAGAAGGGCACTGCCTGCGATATGTAAGTATGTGCTGTTCAGAGATTCATTGTGGGAAAACCTGGAGCATTTGTATGATGATCATCATTCACGTGGCCTTGCCAGTGACTGTTTTCTTTGTTGGTAAAAGTGTGTTCCGTCTTACCACCAACCAGCCCACTCACCGAAGCCACATTGCAATATGGGTTTCTTTTTTGCTTCTTGAACTGCCTCGTTACATAAGACTGCTCGGCAGTGTTGAACAGCTGTCAAATCTTACTTCAGGGGCTAAAGCCCAAGGGTGTCCTTAGACCTTCGGTGAAAGCATTCACCAGGATGAAAGCCAAACAGATCAACTGGACCTGACTCCAGAAGCTGTTTGTGTTTTGGGCTTTTTGTTGCTTCTGTTGTTTTTAAGTAGGAAAGAAAAAAAAAAAAAAGGAAGGCTTCTAATTTTGCTGTTATGTAATGAGATCTCTTGAATGAAAGATGATCATAATTATATCTTGTAGGGAGGTTATAATCCTAGGGATAAATGCACATTTTTTTTTTCTTTTTGACAGGCAGAGTGGACATTGAGAGAGAGAGAGAGAGAGAGAGAAAGGTCGTCCTTTGCTGTTGGTTAACCCTCCAATGGCTGCTGCGGCCGGCGCGCTGCAGCCAGCGCACCACGCCTATCCAAAGGCAGGAGCCAGGTGCTTCTCCTGGTCTCCCATGGGGTGCAGGGCCCAAGCACTTGGGCCATCCTCCACTGCACTCCCTGGCCACAGCAGAGAGCTGGCCTGGAAGAGGGGCAACCGGGACAGAATCTGGTGCGCCGACCGGGACTAGAACCCGGTGTGCTGGCACCGCAAGGCGGAGGATTAGCCTACTGAGCCACGGCGCCGGCCCACAATATTGTTTTAAAACTATTACTCTATAAGGTGTCGATATAAATTAGAGTGAAAATAATTTTAACTGTGCCTTGGATCAACCTCTCATTTTAAGAAGCATCCCAAGAGAGAATAAAACAAAACTTTCTGGTGTTCAGAGTAAAACACAGCCCCACCACCACTGTCCTGCACCATCTGGGACCTGTGTGCTGAGGCTTTCCTCATGGGTTAAGACCTAGCCTTTGCCCTCAGGAGTCAGCTTATTGTTTGTACAACTCAGATTGCTTCTCTTGAAACTTGTTTCTGCACATTCAAAATTCAGTTCCTGGTCCATGGACATACTTGGTAGCCACTATTTTGTTACTGCAAACTACCCTTAAGTGCTTTTTTTTCCCCCTGAGTCCATACCAAAAATTTATTTTGAAATCCTGTTTTTCTTGCTTCATTGCAGAGGTCATGGTGCGATTGAGAACCTTAGTGTGGTTGTGGGGGCTGAAGAAAGCTCTCACTTCTTTCCTAGCTCCCAGGCAGTTAGGTATTATGTAAGAGTGGTGGCATTTTTCATGCTCCACAGAATACAGTGAAATCCTTTTTTTATTCCTTCCAAACTCAACTATGAATGTTTCATTTCGTCTATTGCTTTATTTGGAAAGCTCTATAACAAAATTGAGGTTAAAAGTAATAATAGAAGCCTGGCTATTTAGGCTAATTAAATACTTCATGTCATTTTCTTTTAAGAATTAAGGAGAATAGATGCTTTAAAATATGACTTTTGTTCTTTTTTGAGGTGGTCTTGAAGTGATATTTGGTTTTAGTTTCAGGTACTTGCATTCTGTATTGCAATGAAAGATATAAAATATTATCTTAGTAGATTTAGTGTTGCCAAGATAGTATGCAAGCAATAACTCCTGAAATTTGAATTGATACTATAATTAAAGTAACACTACAGCATGAATCTGTGGTGTTTAGAAAAATTACTGATTTGGGAAAGCAGAACAGGCAACCCTGTCCAGTGGACCAGAGGCCCTGCTGTTGGAAAAACTACATGGTGTCCACAAGATGCACACAAAGCCAGGCCCTCTGCTCTTTAACCTGATTCATGTTTGAGAATAAGTAGGAAATAAACCAACAAATAAAAAGTGTTAATGTGAGCTATAAACTGTATGATTTGTAAGTTCTGTTATACTTCTAAAATTCTCTGAATTATATTGAGAGACATTAGATTATAATTATCCCATTTTTCATAATCAAAGTTTTATTTAAGTCCATATGGGGACAAATTTTCATTATGTTGATTTGAAAATGAATTAAAATAAATGATATTTGAAAGAATGTTTTAAAACTGTTTTAACAGCAGTGCATTGGCATATTCAGGGACTGTGCCTACTGCCTTCCTCATGTTATTTCTACCAGTCATCACAATACTACCTTCCCTCCCTTCTTCATTCCACTTTCCCCCGTAACTAGATCAAGGTAATCTGTAAGGTGTTTTGTTTTGTTTTGTTTTGTTTTGGTTTGGTTTTGTTTTGTTTTTGAGGCAGAGGGAGAGAGAGCCCAGATGCCTGCAGTGGCCAGGGCTGGGCTGTGCTGAAGCTGGGAGCTCAATTTAGGTCTCCCGTGTATATGGTAGTAACCCAGTTACTCAGGCCATCAGAAGTTCCTCCCAGGGTCTGCATTAACAGGAAGTTGGAATTAGGAGCCAGGAATCAAACCCCAGGTACTCTGATATAAGGCAGGGGCATCTTAACTGCTAGAGTAAGCACCCAACCTTGTCTGAACATTTTAAATGCTTAGGAATTTGAATATTGTTTTGAATTAGTAATAATGTAAAAGAAAGTAAATGCAATTTGACAAAATGGAAAGACAACCTGGAACATCTCATGAAGATTGTGTAATTATGTCACTCTTCATTGCTTCTCCCATATGAACATGGAGTGTTCAATATAAATATTTTAAAAGAATAACGTTTTTCTAAGAATTATATATTTCTGTTATAAACATAGATGTGCGC